GACAGTCTTTTAGAGACCTTACCAAACACGCAGGGAGCGACACCCTGCACACATTTCTCATCCACGTCTATAGTTTTGTGTGCATAGCATTATCATTTCTAGACGTCCTAACAAAAAGAAAGAAAGAAAATAACAAAGCGTCTCCCCACGCCAACATTCCATGTCAAGCAGCACGTGTGGTGTAAGAACCCGAGTTTCTAAGGCTCCTCCAGTGAGGTGTGAAGACTCTGTACTCTGCATTATTGCTGCAACTTTCCTGTAAATTGAAATTATTTCAAAATATAACTTGGAATCCTTTATCTAACTGGATTTTTAAAATCTTACTGAGATTAAAACCGTACTGAGGCTTCTTTCACACCATGCAAGCATATTGTATTGATGCTAACACAGCAGTTGCTCAATAAATTTGTGTTCTATTAAGAGCAAATCTCGCCAAGAGGCAAAAGCAAGGTTTAGAATTTTTAAATTCTAAGTTCTTGGATCAGCTCACTTCATTCCTGACTTTTGTGGATTAACAGGTGAAGAGTATAACCAGAACAGACACCATTTTACAAGGAATCTCCTCCTAACCCATTCAAAGCCAGAAGCAGAAATCAATGTGGAACTGAACTATTTAGAAGACCACAGAGCGGGGTGGAGGGAAGGGTGAAATAGGCAAAACGGCATGGTATGATATACAAACTTCCAGCCACAAAATAACCAAGTCATGGGGATGTAATGTCCAGCACAGGCAATACAGTCAACAATACTGTAATAACTCTGTTGATGACAGACGGTCACTAGTCTTTTCAGTGATCATTTTGTAATGTAAAAAAACATACACCTGAAAACCAAAAAAAAGACGAAGACAACCATCAACTCTCTAATACAGTAGTCCCAAATGGAGTTGAACAGAATATACTCCATTCAGGGAATCCTGGTATTCATAACTATGAAAAAACTATATCCATACTCAAAATACCAGAGACACTTTCATCAGTTTTGATACTGAACTTAGAAAATTCAACCATTTACCTATACTCCAATGGGCAATAACAATAATAACATCAGCATATTTATACAGTGCTATAATTAGTTTGCAAATCACCTTCCTTTCCATTATATCATTTGAGGCAGGTAGGCCAGGAATTACGACCCATTCTATGAGATAGCAGAACTGAGACTTCAAGACTTTTCCATGGTTCCCCAATTAGCAGGTGGCAGATCTAGGACTTGAACAAAATTCTTTTGGCTCCAAGACCAGTTAACAATATGACTCTTGCTTAACTGATAAATAATACTCTGGTTACTTTATTCCCTCACAAAGTTTCTAGAACTATCACCTGTCTCAATATTAAGACAAATACTGTGACTGTTTTGCATGAGAGTAAGGGAGGCTGGCCATTCAACTCTTGCTTCATTCTGTTTTAATATCTTTTAACTTCTTAGAATGATCAATTCACTTTAGGTATGCTGTCACCAAGTGGCAGGAGGATGTCATACAAAAATTAGCCTAAAGTAAAAGGCATGAGTTTTCCCTAAGTTTCAGGAGAGTGATTCCAGACAGACTCCAGCCACCTACAATGCCACTCACAATTTATAATCAGAGATTTTCACATTTTAATTAAAAGGTTCATTTAAAGTACAAACTTTAAATAAAGCCCTTTACAGACACCAGTTAAAAATACCTAGTATTTCTTTCATAATGTATTCAATTTTCCTATAACTGTTAATTCTAATTACATCTAAAACATAGGTGCTGATTAGAATATTCATCTTTATAATTCACCCTGATTTAACTTACTGTCAAAACTCCCAGAGGGGTTCATCCTCAAATGGTTTCAAGCTTTAAAACCTATCATAATTCTCGTAGAAGCAGCCTCCTTTTATTTAATCCTTTACGTCTCACTTGGCTGTTCTAAGCCAGCTAACAGCCCTTCTCTTCTCCAGCCTGGGGTTCCATTCTCTGCTGCCCCTCTCCCTGGAGAATGTTCCCAGTCAGTCTCCTCCTTTCAATGTTAGCTGGGAGCCAGACAAATGGTACTTCTCTCCGCCTGGTAGAGGTCACTTCCCCTGCAGTTACCGTCCTCCCACTCCCACCTCTCTTACATGGCTTACTTATATCCATTGCTTTCACTTTTCTTAAATAATAGCCTCTTTGTAGATTTCCTCAGCAACATGTACTAAGCAGATTCTTCAGAAAATTGAAGGAGAAATTAAAGAAACAACATCCCTCACAATAAAGCTAAAAAGACAAAAGGTTTTATAAACAAGGGCAATGAATAACTGTCATTCCAGAGTCCAACAACAAATTAAATTACAAATTTTAGTTGGGGCCCATATTCAGGAATGAGTTCTACCGACTACCCTACAAAAATTGAATTATAAACGTTATCTCTAACTCCAGACAAACAAGTGAACCACCTCTGCCCACGTGGAACCGGTGTCACCATCTGAGCGGCACACAGATGGTGTGAGGGCCAGACCACCTGGTCTCAACCCTGCTCCACCACTTATTCGGCAAACTTCTGTGTGTCTCTCTCTCCTCCTCTAAACAGGAAGGATAAACGGTACCTACCCAGCGTGGTTACTGAGTAAGCTCATTAGACCAATCAGACAGAGCCTGGCACAAACACAGTAAAGCACTCCACAGACTATACTGATTACTATGGTTACGTATCCTTTTTCTACTGCTCTAGCTCATTGCGCCAAAGTGTCTCAAAACCTGCAACACACAGTTGGTTTGTTAGCCTAACTGAATCTGCAGGTAACTGTACTCAAATCCTATCGCAGGGGTTGCCACAGCACATTCCAGCGGCTCTTCCCAGCATGGACAGAACTGATGTGCTGCTCTGCACCCAGGTCTGCTCCCGGGCTAGACAGGCACGCTGCTAGATGGCCATCTGCTGTGTAAGACACTGGGCACAGAGACTTCTTTTATATAGGAACAAGTGTGCTTGTGTGATTTCACTGTCTGTGTCAGGGAGTGGGGTATTACGGAGCTTGTCTGAGGGCTGGGCTGGGTTACAGAGGATGCATGGAGCTGGAATGCACAAGCTACCATTCTAATCCGTATGCTGGGTCCAACAGATATTCACCCAGTGTGTGGCAGGTGCCAGGACTGTGTGCAACACAAGGTGTAAGGGTAAGCAGGAAGGAATATAAAAAGAGAGGGGCAGATGAGATCAGGGAGAGCACACCTCTGTCTCATCGGCCAGGATCAGAACAGTGGACAAACTCTCGCCCTCCTCTCCCTTCACCCCATTGTAAAGAGCGCAGTGCCCAGTCTCAGCTCATCTCCTTCCCTCTCAAGCTCCTTTGCAGACGTGCTGAGTGTAAAGTGTTCAAGTGCACCCAGCAGGCATGCAAAGAAATGGAAGCAGGATTCACAGATTTAGGTCATATCTCTCAAATTTCTATGTCCAGCTATATGCTGCTTTCAAAAAAGAAAAAAGGCCTAGCAATTTTCAGCATATTTTCCTCATGACATATATTATGATTTCACAGATGCTTCACATTGATGCTTCAAAATTTGAGAGAGCCAGGCAAGAGGTCACGAATTGCTTTAAGAATCTGATGAAAGCTACAGACCCTCTCTCCGACCCTTAGCAAACTGTATACACACGTACCCACTGATGCTGCCTACACCCTCCTAAGGGCCGAGCAGGGAGGCCCTGGCTGCACAGGCCCAGCATGTGAATCTCCTTTCAACTGCATTTTGTCCAGATTTTTCCAAGGGCAGGGAAGGCAATATTAAAGCTCTTTAACACACAGCTTCAGTGCCAAGTACTTCAAGATCTGCAAATACTTAAATGCAGTCTAGAAATCCTGAAAAAAAAACCCTGTAAGGTCGAATACATCATTTTTGTTTTCAATATGAAAATTCTGGTAATTTACCTACTTTATCATTCCCTTCCTCATGGAGATAGTGTCCTTTCCTAAAGAAAGGGGCATATATGTAGAGGGAGAGGAAGGGCTGGCTGTAGTTGCCTGGTGGCAGGGCTCCACACTCCAGAGGGGTGCAAGGTGGGGCGCCACAGCAGGGGGCTGGGTGGAAGAAGGGGGGAGATGGGGCCGGCCAGCTGCATCTGCTGCTCAAGGAAGGACGGAGAACCTCAAAGGGACACTTTACGCCTGGCCAACAGTGGAGGGAGATACCGCTCAGAATGGACAAAAGACTAGAGTCGATTTTTAAAAAGTCCTTTTAAAATTAAAGTATTATCAAGTTTATCCTTTCTTTGAGCATCAGAAGAACATGCAGACTCTATTGGACCTACAGATGACAATCAGGAGGGGAAAGAGTGTGGGGAGGGAGACAGCCTCACGGAAAATAATTACGTGTTTATTCACATGGAACTGAGTTAGAGAGAGAAGAAGAGTGATCTGGGGGCAGGGGCAGAAGAAGGCAAGGATTAGAAATTGAAAAGCCGTGGCTTCGGGGCCAGCCCGGTGGCATAGCGGTTAAGTTCACACACGCCATTTTGGTAGCCCAGGGTTCGTCGGTTCAGATCCTGGGCGTGGACATACGCACCGCACATCAAGCCATGCTGAGGTGGCATCCCACATAGAGCAACTAGAAGGATGTACAACTATGACATACAACTACATACTGGGGCTTTGTGGAGAAAAGGGAAAAAAAAAAAAAAAAAAAAAAGGAAGATTGGCAACAGATATTAGCTCAGGGCCAATCTTCCTCAAAAAGAAAAAACAAAAAAAACCCAAAAGCCGTGGCTTCCATTTGGACCTGTGCGGTGTTGCTGTGGTATTGTTCACACACATCTTCCCAGGAACAGCAGCAGTCTGGGGCTTCTAGAAAAATACCTGGGACGGTGGATGAAGACCAAGCCACGCCTGTCCAGTCAGAAGCCAAACTGAGCGTAAATACACTGCGACATGCTCCACATTCTTCAAATTGCAACAAAATACATGAACCATTTTCACCCATCACATCACAGTTATTACAGACAGCTCTTTACACTGTACAGTCATCATGAAGAACACGGGGAGACAGCGTCACTTACATGGTTAATGAAGAGACTCTTGCGTTTTTCTCTCACTGTGAAAACAAAAAATGCAACAGAAACGTTACACGCTGCATGCCAACCCCTTGCAGGTTGCTGAGGACTGGGCCTCTGTGTCACGGGCCCATCCTTCCACCAACCAACGCACCCAATTGCTCAATTACCAAATATAAGAAGATGTGACCTGCACAAATGCAGAGCTGAACTTGGCTAACAGAGCGTTACACATACCCAACTTAAACCACAGCACCCGAACAAAATTACCACAGCTATGATTAACTGAGGGGGACAGCTTTCCAATAACGAAATAAAATATTAATAAGTAAACCTCATAAAACTTGTATGCATCTGTTTGTTTAAGATGATTAACAAATAATAGGACTATTTATCTCCAACTGGACCAGATGCATAAAGGTCTGTGCTATACGGGCGAAATATAAATAACAAGAATCCCCACGACAGCAGTAAGATACAGGACAGATAATGTATGTCCAAGTGTTATTTACCATGGAAACCCAATCACTCTGCACACTGGGTGTGGTGAAAAACACCAGGCTTCTGTCTGGGAGGCCTCCTGGAACCTCCTGCAGCACCCTCTCCCTCAGGGAGGCTGACAAAACTCATGAAAATACCGTCCCGTCTAGAAGATGGCTTCTCACGCTGCTGTCTGCGCAGCGTGGCTCAGCCTCGGGCCCCAGCCCCCAGCGTTTCTCAGAACAGGGGCCCTCAGCCCCAGAGATGTACCAGGGTGACAGGGAACCCTGCGGAGCTTTTTAATAAACTAGTATCATTGAATTTTGTACTTTCTTTCCTGAAGACTTACTTTTGAGGGTACATACGAATCAAGCAACACCTTTATTGAGCAGGCCTACTACAGGCAGAGGACATAAAGAATAGGTGTCCTTCAAGGAGACGACAGCCTGGGTCCCTGGGCATCAACAGGGCTATCTCAGGCCTCCTAAAACAACAGCATACAAAACCACTTCTCAGCTGCGGAGGAGCCCCCGCCCCACAGCCGCCCCCAAAGGCAGGTGTACTTGTTCCCACAAGCCCTCCAGCTGACCGGGTCTGTTTTCCTTCTGTGATGGACTCACAAGGACACAGCTCTCTTTTCCTTAGAAGTCCTACCCTCTCTAGAATGACAATGCCCCTCTTCCCATCTCAAAGATATCCAGGGCAGAAAAGCAGAAACCAGCCTGAGGACACCACTGGGAGAGGAGCCCGCCCAGGCCGTCAGACCAGCACACGGAGCGCGAGCACACAAACCTCAGTGGCGGCCTGGGTCTGCTGGGCACAGCGTGGAGGCCACAGGACCCCCTCCACCCCAGCTCCAAATGAGCATCCACATGTGCACCATAACAAGAGGAAAGTGAGGGCTGGCAGGAAGCACTGGACTTTAACTTGCCGGCATATATACTTTGTGTGCACATGCACCCGTGTGTACATGTGCGTGTGTGGGCACACGCGTGTTTTCTCTAAATTAATTTAATACTCAATTATTGTGCATCTGGTCAGGGCTGCTCCACCACATGGGGGTACGACGACATTTCCATGCTGACTTCTCACTGGCTGGAGGGATCTGGGAACACCTTCAGTGGGGAGACCTGCCAGGCTTTCCAGCAAATTCCACACATGACACTGAGCCCTGCCTAGGGCATCCCAGCAATAGGTTTGTACAGGGGCTTTGTCTCTCAATTATGGGAACCACCTCTGAGGTCACCTCAGCACCCTCCATCACCCCCTGCCTCCAGCAGATAAAAGACATCCATGCCTCAAGAATTATTAGAGCTTCCTACGTCGCTACTAGTGAAAAGATTAAGAATTATTCAAAAATAGGACAGAGGGCTGAAATACAGAATCTTCAATAGTTTTGGCTGCAAGTTTTAACAAGAAAGCTTTAAAACCGACAAATAAAAACAAAACCACAGTAGACAAGAGTAATATTGTAACAGTGCACGCTATTCTCGTACATCTCCTACAAGGAGAAAACGCAGGAGGAATCAGGCCACGTCCATGAACCCCGCTGGTTCCAGTGAGAGCAGTAACAGAGGATGAGGTACCAAATCCATTACAGAAGCTCTGTTTTACACAAATGAACGCCTACACACCACCTACTTCCCTCAGAGCAACTGGGCCTGCTGAGTCTGGTCTCACTCTGGGTTCCTGGGCCTGAGTCCGGCGCCACCTTCCTGTACTGTTTTGTAATGCTGCTCCTAGGAAGGCCTTTGCAAAATCAGGTCTGCAGTGTCTCAGACGCTTTTCCACACAGGCATCCCCATGACTGACTTCCTCTTGGAGTGTCTCCTGAGTCCCCAGACCAACTGCCTGTCCCTATACAAGCAGGAAGCATTCCCAACATGCACGCTTGTCCCAGGCGGCCCTGACCAGAAATGCCCAGACCCGGGCAGATACCCACTCCCAGCTGGGCTAACTCTCTCTCCCGGGAATCGGGAGAGGCTAGTCCATCACTGCTGGCGCCTGACCTGAAGCTATGGGGTGGGGAGGTGAGCTGCGTCTCCTGCTGTGCAGAGAAGAGTTACCCCAGCACGTCTGACTGCCATCCCTGAAAGGCCTGCTTGCAAGGGAGGCCCTTAGCTGGCACCTGGGAACATGGCTTATGGGGGTTCTCACCTTCCCTAACTGATAAGAGGGGCTCACTGTGCCTAAACTGTACAAACGACATGGTTTATGCGGAACATCTGCTTTCCTCCTGGGAGTCTGGAACTGGGGTACACACCAGGCAGAGGCTGCCTACGTAACCAGTCCTCAATAAAAATCCTGGGCACTGAGTCTCAAGGAGCCTCCCCGGCTGCAAAGTCACAAGTCGTTCCTGGGGAAACCTAGTGCATCCTGTGTGACTCTACTTGGAGAGGATTCTCGGAAGCCTGGACTTCGCTTCCTCTGGACTTCACCTGGGCACATTTTCCTGATTTTGCTTCGTATATTTTCTTTGTAAAAAGTCATAGTCATGAGTATGACTATATTTTGAGGCTATGATTTCACCTACTGAATCACCAAAACTGGGGGTGGCCTTGAGGACCCCCAACACAGCTGCCATACAGAGCAGAATGGAGGGCAGAGGGATGGGGAGAAGGCAGGTTCTCCTGTAGATCCTAATGGCTCTTAGCCCCTAGTTCCAATAACTCATAAGGGTTCTGAGCTATCCTGGTGCAGTTACAACTAATTACTCCTTTTTCCCTAAGCTATTTGGAGCAGGACTAAGACACCACCATGGGCCGGGGGAGAGGGGTGGTGGTCAGATAATAAAATAAGTAGGATCTCTTACACTGGTATCACCAAAAGAGATGGATAAAATTACCCAAATCTAAATCTGTCTTTAAAATAAATTTGAAACACTGAGGCCATTAATCAGCTATGAAGTTCAAAGTGCTTCAGCCTTTGGTTTTATGAAGTGGTGTAAGCAATATGCCAACTCATTTCTGGTGTTGGCTTTCATCATTTTAAACTTGAATATTTTTGGTTACTAATAACATATCAATCAAAATCTCTGGAGTTCTCAGGGTTCCTACATAATTGAGAGCACTAACAGTTATATTTTGCTTTGTTGGGAAAACAGGCAATAAATTGATGTGGATCATAAATCTCACTTTCCTGGGAGAAGAATAATAGCTGTCTCCTTTGATCCCATCTATGACGGTTTGTTGAGAGGATTTTTAATTGGTTATTGCAATAGTCCTAACAACTTAAATAGAAAATGCACTAGAGGCTTTAAAAATAAGCCATCTAAAATAAGCAAAAACACTACCACTGGCATTAAAAGTCTTCTCCAGATAAAACGAGGAGTGAGGAATAAATGGCAGTGTTTGCAACCTGAGGGATAAACAAAACTTAAGTCATTCAGGTTGCTACAGGACACTCCCTTGCCACAATGTCACAAAAGTAAAATTTCTTTACTCTCTCTCTCTCTCTTTTTTTTTTTTTTTTTTGGTGAGGAAGATTAGCTCTGAGCTAACATCCATTGCCAATCCTCCTCTTTTTGCTGAGGAAGACTGGCCCTGGGCTAACATGCGTGCCCATCTTCCTCCACTTTATATGTGGGACACCTGCCACAGCCTGGCTTGATAAGCGGTGCGTAGGTCCACACCCGGGATCTGAACCTGCGAACCCTGAGCCGCCAAAGCAGAGCACACAAACTTAACCACTATGCCACCGGGCTGGCCCCCAAATTTCTTTACTCTTAAAAATACAACTTTCTGAAAAAAACCTAGTACCTAATTATTAAGAATTTGTTAATAATCTAAATGCAATTTCAGCTAACCTCTTTTGCAGACAGGCATTAAAAAAATTACCTTGGTTTCCCCTGCTCCATTTCTAAAACAGACCCTCCAATGTCAAGTGTCAGCCACCAGTAATTAGCCATAGGACGTTAGGACTGAAGAGGTCTTGAAATATGTAATCCAACATCCTTCCTTCGACAGTGAGGAAGCAGCCCACAGAGGCCGACAAGAGGGACTGGAAGGGGCTGGCAGGAGGCGGTTTGCCGGGTTCCTCAGGCCCTCCCTCTGCACTACCCTCCCTCCAAGCCCAGCATCACTGTGCCTGGAATCCGCATGCAGTGAGCTCCACTGGACAACAGACAGTCAGGTTCTGGTATGAACAGAGCTCAGCTATATCACAAAGAGAAGCTCCTTAGCTTATTAATTCCTCTGGCTGTTAAGGACTGGCAGGCCACACAAGTGGGAGGCCTCAACAGGAAGGTCAAGAATTACAGAATTTTGTTTTGAAATGTAAAACTGATCGCTGAGATAGGAGAACCAATGTAAACCACAAAATCTGGTTCAAAAGAAAGGGTTTTATTTTCCTTTCTTGTTTCCTGTGGGCAGCAAAGATCAGGCTTTGAACAATCAAAAGTTCAATATTAATTTTTCTTACAATAAGTTTGAGATTACCATACAATCCCCACCATTTTCAATAATTCAGTGAATTTAGTCATTCACTTAATTCAAAACACAACTGTATGAGCCCCTGTGAGGAGCACAGCATGGAGGCAGAAACTCGGAGGTTCCGCTTTGCT